GACCGCAGAAGCTCGGGCTCTTCTCCTCCTCCATCGTCTGGCAGGGCCCTGAAGTGGGGATGGCAAGGGGCTGCCTGAGGCTCAGGAAGTGAACTTAAGGAGAAAAAACAAGTCTGCAGAAAGGTGGAAGCAAGGACAAGGGCACCATGGGGATTTCTTTTTATTTTATTTTATTATTATTGTTTCTTATTTGAGATTTTGCCTGTATAAGGGTGTTGGATCCTGGAGTTATAAACAGTTGTCAGCTGCTATGTGGGTGCTGGGAATTGAGCCCCGGTCCTCTGGAAGAGCAGTCAGTGCTCTTAGCCACTGCGCCATCTCTCCAGTCCCGTCCCCCCCACCTCTTTGGGATTTCTAATGAGCAGCTGTCAGTGAGAGACCAAGTGACAGAAGGTTGTGCTGAGGTTAAGGCAGTGGAAAAGAGACTTGCTGGGTAGGAGATACCCATCTCATAGGGAAAGCACCTGCTTAGAATCCCCCAGTGAGGGGCTGGGGGGTGGCTCAGTGATAAGAATGCTTGACTTTAATTCTCAGTAAGGGGTGAAGAATGTGGCTCACATTACATGCATGAGGTCGTAGGTTCAATCCTCTGCCCTCCAAGGAAAGAGACTCTTAGTCATCTCCCTAATCTCCAGCCCTCACCTTGGCGATCGGAAGAGGACCTCCACCACCTTCACCTCCCAACTGTTGCCAAAGGCGTTGATGTTTGAGGTGAGCATTCCATTGGGTAACATGAAATCATTGGCTTGGTTCTTGTCATAGTTTCCACACAGACCCCTTATCAGTCCACGGTATACGGTAGGCAAGGAGATCACTGCAGGAAGAAGGGAATTCCCTGTGGTGAGCCTAATTCTGTCCTTCCTGCCATAATCTAGCCCCCTGTCAGGCTGGGAGCTCTACCCCAGGTGGAACTCATCATTGAAATGTGCCTTTCTGTCTTCCATCCCAGAAATAGGTTCCTTTTTTCTGTGGTTATTGGTTTTATTGTTGCTATTTTCATTTTTGAGACAGGGTCTCATATAATTCAAGCTAGACTCAAACTTGCTATGTAGCTGAGGCTAGCTTCTTTGGATCCTCCTGTATCTACCTTCCAACTGCTAAGACTACAGGTGTGCTACACCATACCCTGCACTGTCTTTTTGTTTGTTTGTTTGGGTTTTCTTTTTTCTTTTCTTTTTTGTTTGTTTTTTGAGGAAGGGTTTGATCTGTGGAACAGCTCTGGCTGTCTTGGAACTAGTTCTATAGACCAGGATGGCCTAGAACTCACAGAGGCCCACCAAGTGCTGCCTCCCCAGTGCTGGGATTAAAGGTGTGCAGCACCAGCGCCTGGCTTAATTGAGTTTCTTTGAGACAGAATCTCACTATAGGCCCTGAGTAGTCTGGAACTCACTATGTAGAGCACGTTGGTCCCAGCCTCCTGGCAGATCTCCTGTCTCTGGTTCCCAAGGGTTGGGATGACACTGTGAGCTAGCACCCCTGGCTCAGAGGCTGGGCTTCTGCTGTCTGTGGCCTGTCTGTTACCTGCAGTTTGCTTCCCATCGAAGTCCACCACCATTTCAAAGTCAGTGATGAGAAACAGCCGTTGTGCCCGCAATATGACCCGCAGGTGGTGATTTGGGCTGTAGGGGATCGCCACCTTTTGATCGTTAACCTTGAAACAGAAGGACTGCAGCTGCACAGCATGCTGAGTGGGCCACACTCTATGCTGCCGTTCTCTGTGCCTGGCTTTCCTCAGCGCCCCACCATGGTATTCCAGAGTCTTCATTGCCCCCAGTCAGAGACTTCCCTTCATACACCAGTGCCTTCCTTGCAAAAACTCAGAAAGACAGATGACTAGTGGGTAGAGGCACTTGCCACTAATCTGGAGGACTTGAGTTTGAGTCCCAGGACCCATATGGTGGATGCAGAGAACAGACTCCTCCAAGGTGTCTTCTGACTCCCACACAGGCACCACAGCACATGCATGCCCGTGCATGTACACATGACAAATGCATGTGACAGAGAGGTGGCCCATTGTTTGACTCCTCCAGTGGGCCTGCATTGGGTTCCCAGAATCCTTGCTGGACTGCTCACAAATACCTATAACTCTAGCTCCACAGTACATGACACCTTCTGGCCTCCGTGGGTTCTCATACATATGTGGGATTTACACATAAATACATAAACACAGAAATATTAAGAATTAAATAAGTGTAAAAGAAAGCTATTTTTAAATCAGCACTGTGGATGCTGCAGCTCCATTCCCACACGTGTGTCACATGTGTGCATCGCTCCCCTTTATTCCCCTCAGCCTTCTGCTCAGCCCCACTGCTCTGTGCCACCTTTCTCCACAAAGGGACACCACCGTCTGCACTCCTGGAAACTCCCTGGCAGTGGGGCACTCTGGCTTCGCTAACTCCAGGTGGTCTACAATGGTCTCCCTAGGTTCCTTCAGGTCTGCTCCTGCCCGTTACTCACCAAAACCACCAGCCCTTTTTGGAGCTGGATTTTATAACCATAGACGATGGTGGTCACTTCATGCAAGGCTGGACTCCCTTTGGGGGATATCTTGTTGCGTCCCTCTGTGACCAGGGGCTCAATCCCCTCTGGGAGCTTGTCCACTGTCTTAATGAGATAGTAGTTCATCCGGCCCGGGAATCGGTAGTCGAAGCCATCAAAAAATGCGGTACATTTTTCCAATTCTGTGAACACCAAAAAACGACCTCAGCCCAGTTACTGGTCTCCTAGAACCTCTCCCCAGCTGCAGTGTTTCTTATCACCTCCCCTTAGGCCAGGGCTCTGCCTCTGGATTCTTCCAGCCACCAGGGCACTCTCTCCACTTCCCCTCTCCCCCACCGCGTCCTTACTGTTGACTGCACAGTTACTGCTGCCATCATCACTGTGCTGGCAGTGGGACCCTGTGGGGCAGACGAAGTTTCGGCACTGAACAGCACCAGCCACACAGGTACAACTCTGGGTGCACCCACTGGAGATCCAGGTCTTGCCTGCCTGCAGAAGACACGGGAAGAGATAGAAGTGAGGACAGAGGAGGCGAATCTAAAGAGGAAGGCTCACTTCCTGTGTGAATGGCTTACATCTGTCCTCCCTACTTGCAAGCCCCAAATCTATTAAGCCAACCAATTTGCACTTGCAAAGTAGGCTAGATTGGCTGGCCAGTGAGCTTCAGTAATCTACCTGTTTCCACCTCTTCAATGCTGGGATTACAAGTAAATACTACTACACCCGACTTTAAAAAATGAAAACAAAACAAAACAAAACAAAACAAAAAAACATTTACTTTGGCCATAGGATGCCACAGCATGTGTGTGTGGGGTGGAGGACATTTCTTTCAGGGGTCCATTCTCTCTTCCAACTATGTGGGTTTTTGGCACCAAAGTCAGGTCACTGGGCTTTGTGGCAGGTGCGTTTCCCTGCAGAGACACCTCCTGGCCCTCGCCTGGCTTTTTCTACAGGGGTTCTAGGAATCAAATTGACAGCCTCATGTGCAAGATAAACACTTCCAGACTGAGCTATCTGCCCAGTTGTGTGTTTGTTTAGAGAGCTTACTTGGAGGTTCTAGCAGGGAAGCCCAGCTATATACCCTTGCCAAAAAAAGAAAAGAAGAGAAAAACAACAACAATAACACAGCCCTCTTCAACCAAGTGGCAGCTTTGGGAGGGACATATATGGAGTGATGAGGGGGAAGGAGAAACCTGCCTAGCAGCCACATCAACCACATCGACCCTGGGGACCAAGGGGGTGACAGATGTCACAGCCAGATGGCCTTCACAGTAACCGAGTCTCACATAGAGCAGGCTGGCCTCCAATTCCCTATGTAGCCTTGTGCTAGGAAGACAGGTGTGCACCGCCACTCCTGGTTCATGGTTGCTGCAGACGGAACCCAGGGCTCTGTGTGTGCCAAGTCTTGTACCTCCAAACCTGCGTCACTTTCTATAAGGGCTTGAACATCTGTACATTTGGGTATCTTCAGGATGCTCTGGAACCAGGAACATAATTCCTGTGGGTGCATTTGGCCTTCTCTAGAAGACAGCTAGAGTACCATTGGAACCTTGGCACCATGTAATCCTCCTCAAGACATTGTTCTTGGCCTTTTGCTATGTTTAGTTGAGATAAGGTCTTAAGTAGCTCAGGCCAGTCTCAAAGTCATTATGTATCTGAGGATAGCTTTCAACATCTGATCTTCCTGTTCCCACCTCCTAAGTGGTTGGATTCAAGGTGTGTACCACAACACACAGCTTGTTTTTGGTGTCTTACATATATCGCTTAGGAGGGGCTCCTGGACACATTTGCAGATGAGGAAATAGAGCAGCAGGGTTCTTCCTGTCCACCTTGGTGTTTCAGTTGTGGTGATTCCCTGACACAATTCCCAGTCTACAAGGGCTGGGAATGTGGCTTGACTGGCAGAGCACTTGTCTATGACCACAAAGCCCTGGGTTTTACACCAAGCACCACATAACCCAGGCATGGTGGGGCAGCCGGTTATCCAAGCACTCAGGAAGTCAGAGCAGGACAACCAGGAATTTGAGGTCCTTTTCAGCTATGCAGTGAGTTTGAGACCAGCCTGAGTTATGAGTCCTAGTCTTTGAAAAAATAAATAAAACTCAATCTACAGCTTACCAGCTTTCACACTCCAGAGCCAATCATATAAACAGGAGCATCCAAGGCTGAGAACGGCAGAGGGTGACACCTCTCAATCCCACTCTCTACACCAACTCACCGGGATGGAGTCACCCTGGGCATCTTTGCAGCCACATTGGTCTTTGAGCACACACTTGTTGTCACTGAACAGGAAGCCAGGTCGACAGACACAGCCCTCCTTGCAGGTGGAGGGGGCTTTGGTGCTGATGCCCTCACAGAGGCCATTCGGGTTGGAGCAGGACGGTAGACAGGAGGGAAGGCAGTCGGTGTATAGGCTGTGGGCCGGGCACTGCAGT